GGTTGCGTGGAACATTACTGCAGCCCCCACCGACAACGCTTATGATGTCATCGATGTTCCAGAGTCAGTGCTGCCTCCCTCTCTTATCCGGAATTGGAAATGTTTATCTATTTCACTTTCAATTTCCATCCTGCTCTTACCTTCATCTGGTCTATCTCTGATTCCTACCTTCCCATCCTCTACGTGAGTAATGTAGTCTGTGCATTTCAGAGCCAGTTCAATGTCTGATTTGTAGCACATTAGTCCCAAAGACCGGTGAATTGTATCAAATAGCACATCCCTTTGGCTGATTGCAGTAGGCAAAGTACTGATCTTATAACAAACAAACAGCCCATGCTTACAAAACTCTTAAAATATAACTTCTAACATTAATTGCAATTGGAAAAGCACCTGTTGAACAATCCTAAGTATACTAATAATTAGACAACCAACCAGTTTAAGATAATCAGTTTAGTTCGCCGTATCGCTTGCTTGATCTTGCTGAAAGCAAAATATGTTTGTAGACCTGGTGTGTCCTTTTCAGGCAAAAGGAACACGTGCAGGCATTACACCTTTTTGAATAAGCAAAAAGGTGGAGAACACTGTCCCCCAGCAGCTTCCTGATGCATTTGCCATGGCAAGGCGTAGACTAAACAAAATTAACTTGCCAACCAATCAACCTTTTGTCATACAGTATAAGTTGTTCCTCCCTTTGAAATCTGGTGTTAGAAATGTAGAAAAATAAGTGAGGATTAGGCCATTCGGCCCTTCATGCCAGCTGTATCATTCATTATGATCATGACTGATCATCCAATTCAATAGCCTGTTCCTGGTACAGAAAATTCCCACTGTATTCTTCCATCTGTCCTGATAAGTGCAACAAGAAATCTTTTTGATGTGACATTTTTAAAAGAAATCCTCAAGTTCTGATCTACCATAAAACTATATTGGGAATAATAGAGTTTAAAATATTGCAAAATAAAAAGAAAGCATTTGTTTACAAGCCACTTTCCAGAAATGCTGCACATGGAACTGGCTGGATTGTGCAATTATTATTAGTGTGTTCATGGACAGTTAATTATGTACCACAGGATCTCAGAATATTGTGATGTATGAGTGGCTAATCAGCATGGCACTTGATGTAGCTTCTGTCTGAAGTTCTTGAACTGGGGTTTGAAATTGCATCATCTGCATCAGATGAGAATGTCATCAACTGAACCACATTGACAGTTAAAAGTGAAGCTGTTCGATTGGTCATAGAAATAGTGTTCTGGAACTACTCAGGCAGCATCTGTGGAGAATAATATATTCTGCAGCATTTTATGTTATTGAAGTCTCAGAGATTCATTGATCAACATCTCATCCACTACAATGACCACTAATGCTGAGGCCATGATTCATCTGGTAGATTGATCGATGGATATAGTCTTTGGGAGATGACTTAGGAATCACCATTTCTATCGGTTGCATGAGGACAGTTTTGATACTTGTATTTGCTGACTGGCAATTATTCTGATGAACAACCTGCTATTCATTATCCTTACAAATTCATCCATCAGTTGTGCAGAGAAAGAAAATCAAACAACAAAATATTTTTGTGGGACATTTGTGTTTCAAATGCACCAACACCATCTGGTGGAAGCAAACTACCACTGCCTCTAATGCTGTTAGTGTTTCATGTAATTATATTGTGGGCAGTGTTTTCAGTAGCGTTTTAAACAAAATAACAGTATTTCCACTGTTCACTGAAACATTTAATAGCTTATTCTAGAAGGAATCCCATTGTTTAAAAAATGCAAGAAAAAAATATGGAAATTAAAGTCCTTTCAGATTAACATTGGTTTGTGGGCATTAATAATCTATAATCAAAGATTGACTCAGCTGATTAGAGAATGCCAACACAAATGTGTAAATGCAAGTTAACACAATTAGTTGAAACTTTTCAGAAGACAATTTAGGTAGAGGACCGAGGAACGCCTATTGATAATATTTTTGTGGACTTCCAGGAGATTTTTGATTAAGTTCCATGCAAGAAACTATTTACTAAAATTAAAGCTTAAGGCATGAAAAACAAGTTATTGACTTGCTCAGGGGATTGGTTAGGTGGTAAAAGAAAGAGTCGGGGATAATGTATTTGATTTGGAAACAAGTGACTACCACTGTCCCAGGGCAAGTCCTGCAGAGGCCTTAACTTTTCATCATCTTTATCGATTACTCCTTTTCAGCACAGTTGAAGCCAATACCTTCCAAAGTTGCAGATTATGCAAAATTTGATGGCATCATCAGTGATATAGATGGGCACACAACATGTCAGGAAATCAAATCACAGACCATTCGGTCCAATTTGTCCATGCCAATCAATTTTCCTAAACTAAATTAATCCCATTTTCCTGTGTTTGACCTATATCCCTCTTAAACAATTCCTATTCATGTACCTGCCCAAATGTGTCTCAAATGTTGTTGCTGTACCTGCATCTACCAGTTCCTCTGGAAGTTCATTCCATATATGACCTGCCTTCTGAGAGAAAAAGTTGCCCCTCAGGTCCCTTTTATCTTTCTCCTCTCACCTTAAAACGATGCCGTCTAGTTTTGAACTCTTCAACCCGAGGTAAAAGACCTTTACTATTGACCTTATCAATGGCCTTCATGATTTTGTAAACCTCTATAAGGTCACCTCTCAACCTCTTCGGTTCCAGTGGAAAAATGTCCCAGCTTATCCAGCCTCTCCTTATAATCCCGTCCTGGCAACATCCTGGTAAATTCTGCACCTTCTCCAATAATATCAAAGCAGATGGTCATCCATTAAAGTGAGAGAAGAAAGATTGATATTATTCTGTACAGCAAAGAATGAAAGACCAGGCGGCTGCGATGTCTGCCCCATGCTTGGACTCAGAGCATCTGCTCTGGGCTGGAGAAGAACTTGCAGTAGGAGAGGGAGGATTCAATTGTCAAGGTCCATGTAGGAAGCAATGATATTGGTAGATCTATCAGAGAGATTCTACACAGCCAGTATGAGGAGCTAGATACCGGGTTAAGAAGCTGAACTTCAAAAGTAATAATCTCTGGATTAATACCTGATCCAAGTGCAAATTGGCATGTGGTAAACAAGCTTAGAAAGATGATCGCATGGCTGAAAGAAAAGTGGGTTCATGTTCATGAGACACTGGCACTAAAACTGCAGAAAGTGGGATTTGTACGTTTGGGAGGTTGTGATGAATCAAAGAGTGAGTGAAGGCAACAGAGGGAGGAAGTAATGTGGGAAATGATAAACAAGCAATGACAGAGACTACAGATCTAAGAACATATCAGCAGATGAGACTAGCCGTTACGAAAATAATAAAAGAATAAAAGGACAAAAAGTACAGTGTCTGAGTGCAAATAATATTCAAAGCAAAAGAGGTGACCTCGTTGTTTAAATTCAGGTAAGTGCGTACGATCTACTGAAATATAGCTGCAGAATGACTGAGATTGGATGCTGAACATTGAAAGATATATGACACCTAGGAAGGACTGGAAGCGAGGAAAGGGTGGAGGGGTGACTCTGTTAATTAAAGATGATGTTAGCACAGTAGAGAGGCATGACCTAAATTCAGTAAACCAGAATATAGAACCAGCCTGGTTAGAGATGAAGAATGTTAAAGGCAAGAGGTCACTAGTGGGAGTTGTGTACAGGCTTCTAAACAGTAGCCACATGATAGGACAGGGTATCAAGGAAGAAATAGTGGAAGTTTGTCAAAAAGATAAGGCAATTATCACGGGAATTTTAACGTACATGTTAACTGGAAAAGCCAGATAAGAAAAGTAATCAAAATGAGTTTGTTGAATGTTTTCAGTTAAACAGGGCATTGGTGAGACCACATCTGGGGTATTGTAAACTGTACTTACGGAAGTATGTTAATACATTAGAAACAGTTCAGAGAAGGTTTACTTAGCTAATGTCTGGGATGAATAGATTGCCTTATGCGGAATGGCTAGACAGGCTAGGCCTGTATCCTCTGGAGTTTAGAAGAGTCAGAGGTGACTTATCAGGGATATGTAGAGTTGGGGTTAAAATCTGATCAACCGCGATTTTAGTAATTGGCAGGGCAGGCTCAAAGGGCTGAGAGACCTATTCTTGTCACTTGTTCGTGTGGGACAGTTTCATAGACCAGCATATTATCATAGAATCCCTACAGTGTGGAAACGTGCCCTTTTGGTCCAACAAGTCCACACCAACCATCAGAGCATCCGACCCAGACCCATCTCCCTACAACCCATCTAATCTATACATCCCCAAACACCATGGGCAATTTAACATGGCCAATCCACCTAGCCTGCACATCTTTGGATTATATTATGGCACCAATCAGAAAGCAGGCTACATTAGACTTGGTTTTTACTAATGAGATAGGATTGATTACTGACCCCATAGTGAACTTGCTCCTGGGTGGCAGGAACCGTAACATTGAATTTTGCATACAGCTGAAGGGAGAGAAATGTGCGTCCAAGACGATTTTCAATTTAAACATGGGCAATTATGAGGGGGAGAGAGTAGAGCTAGTGAAAGTGAACAGGAAGTTTATGTTAAGGGGTAAGTCAAGTGAGATGCAGTGGCAAACCTTTAGAGGAATATTGCAGAAAACACAAAATAGATACATTGCAGCAGAAAAGAAAAATTCTAAGGGACTAATCCACCATTCACGGTTAAGTAAAAAAAAGTCAAAGATTGTTCAGACTGAAAGAAAAGATGTATGTTCAAAGATAGGTGGCAGGCCATAAGATTGGACAGAGAAGAAAAACAAAAAAACAATAATGGAAGATTGATAAGGTAGGGGGGAAAATGCAAGGTGCTCTGTTTCTTTCTCTAACTTTGTCCTGCTAGCTGTGCTTTGGTGCTGAAATGGTGACTCTTCCTGATGCTAGCGACTAACGGGTGATGGTGTTTTTAAAACTGCTTCTTGGGTATTTTCTGGGCTGTATTTCCCTATTGGTGGTGGACAGACACTTATCTATTTTTCTTTCTATTTACTTCCAAACTACAGACTTTTAAGAAGCTGATTCCTGATGAGGTAAGCATCTTAGATGTTTTTATTTTGCTCTGCTGTTTGCAGTATTTTCATGTTTTGTAACTTATAAATTACCTTTGTTTTGAACAATACTTTGTTCAGACTGAATCTGCCTTTGCTTCTGTGATCAACTGCAGAATATAGATAAATACTGTGAAGTCTGTAATTGTGGAATGTGCAACTCCTAGTGAATCTCATTGTAAATAATACTATTTCAGTAAAGTCTTATTTTCTTTTATTGTTTTTATACAACAGTAAAATCTGGTGAGTCTTTCACCTCTGCTGTTTTAAATGAAGTAGGATGCGGATGAGGGACTGGGGATGCAGTGTTGGAGCAGACGGAAATATGTAGGAAGGTTTACAGGAATCTCTCACTTGTGGGAGTAGTTGGGTAAGTACCTCAGCAAGGTGCTGAGTTGGACGCGAACTTTGCAAGGAAGTTGGATACATGAAGGGAATGGGGTAAGGGAGCTTGGCAAAGTCCCTCAGTTGGAGATGTGGGGAGGAAAAATATCTCTGTGTGGTTGCCGTCTTCTCCCAGTCTCGGAGGAAATCATTCCTGCAAGCCACTGTGGCTTCCGACTAAACCATGGAACTATGGATCTGATTTTCACTTCTCAGCAAGAGAAATGCCAGGAACAACAACAACTCTACATGGTCTTCATTGATCTGCCAAGGTCTTTGACTTGGTCAGTTGGAAGATCCTGTCAAAAGTTGGCTGTCCAGTGAAATTCATCAATACCCTCGGTCTCCTCCATGACAAGATGTCGATGATAATCCTCACCAATGGTAATATGACAGAATCTTTTGAGGTCAAGGTAGCAGCCAAGCTGGGATGTGTCATTACCCCACCCTTTTGTCCATCTGCATCATCACAGTTCTTCATCTTGTCAAGAACAAACTTCCTAGTGGTGTGCACATTGCCTACTTCAGTTGGTTGAAAATCAAGAAGAAAATGACAGACACTGACCTCGCTTGTGAAACTTCATTCTGCAGATAACAATGTCATCTCTGCTCTCTAGGAAGAGAATCTTCAAGGCTCATTTAATGCCTTCATGGAAGCATACCAAATAATTGGTCTTAAATCCTTCACAATCTGTCTTGGGTCAGTTTCTGGTCTGTCCCACCATTAGGGTTAATAGAGAAATCCTCCCAGACATGGAATATTTCCCTTACCTGGGAAGCTATTTTTCATCTAAGGCTGACATTGATGCAGAAATTCAACATCACATCTAATTGGTGAACATCACTGATACCTAAGAATGAGAATCTTCAACTGTGACATCAGTGCTGATGACAAGATCCTTGTGTATAAGGCAGTCATCCTTCCAACTCTTCTTTACGGCTTCAAAACTTGAACTACGTACAGAAACCACCTCAAGACCCTTGAGAGGTACCATCAGTGTTGTCTGAGATGGATTCTTTGCATCGGCTGGGAAGACAGGCGTACTAACATCAGTGTCCTTTAAAATAGTTAACAGCACCACCAAGGCCAAGATCATCTGAAACTAACACCGCTGGACTGGCCATGTGCTTAGGCTGCGTGAGTTCTGACAAACAAAGCAAATCATTTTAACCCAGATCAAGGAAGGCACTCAAACAAGAGGAAGGTAAAGTGATCATTTCGAGCCCTGAAGGCTTCCCTCAAGAAGTGTGACATAGATGTGAATGCATGGGAGATCTCATTCAGAAGAAACTGACTGGAGGAAACTCCTGTGTCAAGGGACCCAGTTCTTTTCTTTTGGGCAAGAGCAAGTATGGAAAAGGAACCAGACAAAGGAATACCAATGATATCACGGCCAGGGACCAATTCCACTTCTTAAAAACATCTACCAAATGTGTGGTGGGCGATGTAGCTCTAGGAATGGGCTGAACAGCCATACAAGGACCACAGAACCCATGACCAGTGGTACTGAATTTCACATGTGGACAATCCTAGTTAACAAGTGATTGACAATGATTCAACATCATGAGGGATTTGGGCAGAGTAGATGGGCCCGAAGGGCTGAAAACAAGAGATCATAATTTAATGTGAGTGGCAAAAGAACCAAATGCGACATGAGGAAAATAATTCTGCACAGTGAGCTGGTGTGATCTGGAATTCGTGGTTCAAGAGTGTGGTGGAAGCTGGTTCAATCATTACCTTCGAAAATGGAGGTACTGGTGTTAGACTGGGTGGACAAAGTCAGAAGTCACACAACACCAGGTTACAGTTCAGGTTCATTTAAAATCACAAGCTTTTGGATCAGTGCTCCATTCTAAGGTAAAGTGGAGAGAAGTGCATGGGCACAGAATTTATAGGCAGAGAGAGCACTGCAAGATAAGTAAGGAAGATTTTCAAACATAGAACAGTACGATGGGGTTACATGTAACACGACATGAACCCAAGATCACAGTTGATGCCATCTTCATTGGTACAGAACTTGACTATTAGTCCTGCATAACCATCACCAGACAAAAATGTTCCCTCTCAGTCTGGAACACTTCAGTGGTCAAGGACATTCAGCCTCCAACCTTTGGGTAATCATCGTCCAAGGCGGCCTTTGAAATACACAGCAACGCAGAATTGCTGAGCAGGAACTGAGCCAAATTCCATACTTGTGAAAATGGCCTCAACTGTGATCTTGCGTTCATGTCGAGCTACACGTAACCACACCATACTGTTCTTTGTTTGAAAATCTTCCTTACTGTTCTATTTTGACACCATCAACTTGATAATTTATGATCTCTCTACCTTAATTAGTTTGTGCAGTTTGGGTTACTTGTTACTTTGGTTAGACCCTTGTCATGTGATACATACCTATCATGTTACTCTAGCCATTTGGTTTGTCTCTAGCATCAACTTATTTTTAATTTTTTGTAATTATTTGTCTGTCTTAACTAATCGGGTCATCCCTTCACTTGCTATTCAGTTGTAGACACCTTACTCACATCATTTGACAGTTTTGATCACCTGCAAAGTCTTGTTATTCAGCCTGTCGACACTCCACTCACACCATTTGTGCTATCTTTGGTCTTTCGAAAGAATTAACTGTGTCTTATTTTGGAACCATCTTCTCCCCAAAAAACGCTTCCTTTTATCATATCAGAGATAGAAGGAACTGCAGATGCTGGAGAATCTGAGATAACAAGTTGTAGAGCTAGATGAACGCAGTCGGCCAAGCAGCATCAGAGGAGCAGGGAAACTGACGTTTCGGGCCGAGACCCTTCTTCAGAAATTTGGAAGAAGGGTCTAGGCCCGAAACATCAGCTTCCCTGCTCCTCTGATGCTGCTTGGCCTGCTGCGTTCATGCAGCTCTATGCCTTGTTATCTCCTTTAATCATATATCCAGTTAGCACCCCTAACATATTTTCCATTCTTTTCTGTGTAAACAATTTTTAATCTGTTTTGCTGTTATCCTTAAATTCTATGCTGCTTAATATTTCCTTGCAATCCCTATATGAATATGTCATTATCTTTGAATTGGAACGTTGTAGCATGTGTTTTTTAAATGCATAATAAATATTTTTGTGATCAGCTGAGGAGCAGGTTTAGTGTTGATATCTCCTAATGTAGTACAAATTTCTACTTGATCTCTACTATGTTTGTGTATAAGATGTCCTGAACCTGTACTCCTGCAGCTCTCCATGAATATTACACAAGAGTTGCTTGAATTCTGTTTAAAGAAAATAAATGTTCTATTCCAGTTGTCAGCAACTGGTCATTTCCATCCATTGTGTCCTTTGGATCTTTAGATCCTTTTGTTTAACCCCTCACATAACTGCAGTCTCCAACCCTCACCACCAGTGTGTATGCTATTAGCTTAACTGTAATTCTGAAATAAATATAAAGACACAGCTACTGTTTATGATCTGAAGATGCCGTCCCTATTTCAAGAACAGTTCTTTTGTTGACTTTGGCAGATTTAATTCAACAACAATGTTTTTCTAGGTTTCTGTGTAAGGTCATACATGCAAACAGTATGCTATTTGATGCTTCAAGCCTGCTGTGCCAATAAGTAAGATCAGACCTGATCAATTTATACCAAGCCCCATTCAAAATCACCTTTTTGTTGGCTGCCAGTCAAGCTATGTACTTATTTGAAAATTCTCAGTCTTGATTTCAAATTACATCATTTCTTCAGCCACTTTTGACTCTTTAAACTCTTTCATCCCAACAAACCTTTGAGTTATCTAGCTTGAGCAATCCTGTTTTGAATTGCTCCCTCATTGATGTCAAAACTATCAATTGCCTAGGCTGTAAGTTCTGGAATTTCCTCCCTTCCCCTCCATACCTTTCTTTCATCCATTAAGACGCTTAAAACCTGTCCTGATACCCCCAAATATGACACCAAGTAATGTAAGTTTCATAACCCTACTGTGAAGTGTTTTGATTTTCATTGTGTTAGAAGGGCTATTGAAATACAATGTTTATATTATTATTGGGGATACATCATTGGCTCAGGTATGGTGGAGGTGTGGCAGTTGTGCTTTGTATTTTCTTCCACTGAATTTGTGATATTTCTATTTCTATTTATAATTTATAATTTTGAATGCACTTGAAGAAAGGGGCTTGCATAGTATGATTTTTGTTCATAAACTGGTGAAGCAAAGATTCATTCTTAAAGAAAGATAAGTGCACGCTGAATCTATGAGCAAACGGGAAAGTGCCGCCCAGATCTGTTGGTGATTACATGGTCAGCCACAAATATTACTGTACAAATATAATTGTGAAATGTTACAGGGAACAAAAGAATATTTTATTCTTTCCTGCCTCTCTCTTGCAGCTGGAACGGTTCACCAGCATAAGGAAGAAGGAGAAGCCGTACGTTCAAGCAAAACACCCATCAACACCAATTTATGAAGATCATCTTTCTCCACTGACCTTGCTGTCTGACAGTGAGGTGCTGGATCTATTTGAGCAGATGTTGGTAGGTGCTGAGCCCTTCAACCTTTCACAACTTACTTCTGGAGTAAAGCCTTCAAATGTGTTGAAAGCATAAAATAAAGGTGTAAAGTACTGAGGACACGCAGTTAATCCTCATGATGCAATGGAAGAAAAGACTGTTTTGTGCTCAGTGTAGAGGCAGAGATTCAGCAAAGGCTGTTAAACATGCAACATACTTTTCCTCAATCTGCTGCTGATAGATTTGTGCATTTGTAACAATGATATTGCAAAATATTTAAAGCATTGCCTTTTTAAAATCAACTGTGCTTCCTGAGCTTTATTGAATTGCATAGGGTTGCTTGGTATTTTTAGCACACAAATTGGCCATTCGACCCAATCTGTACTTCTTTTGAACCACCTCCTATCTTTCCTCAGCTAAATCTACCGTTGTAACCCTTTATTCCTTTCTCCTTCGATTGCATGATTAGCTTCACCTTAAATTCATGTATACTGTTTTCTTTCACCGCTCCCTGCATTAGTGAATTTCACATTGATCTATGTTATTGAAGAGGGATTGCCCAGATATTCTTCCTTGGAAATCACTTCATGCTTTTGTTTTATCTCCCCTGTAGTTTTTGGGAAACTGATGCATCAGCTGGCAGATAAAGTGAATATTAATGAATGTAATGACTTTTTCTATCCATTGCATGCATTCGTATTTTATGTTTAGTGTAAAATTACAGGTCATCCTTTTTAAGAAAATTGATGCTAGTTTGTATTGCAAGAAAGATTGAGCTACAAATTAGTGTTTTAGAATTCTTCTAATCACTGAAAAAAAGCAATTTGAGTGCCTTAGACAACTGGCGTCAGTAATTAGGTCATCTAGTATACTTTGAACCACTTGGAGTTTGGAAGTCTTGCGTTAAATCCTTAATGGAACCTGGTAAGAGCAGGAGTTTGAATCAGATCCAAATCTTTAAAGGTCTTTCAAGTTAAACAAAGTTACAAGACAAATAACCAAATAAAATGTAATTATTAGATTTATTTTGGACTATTTGAATGTGCAACTTGCTACCAGTAGTTGGTGCAAGTAGCATTGATGATGTATTTAAGGGAAAGCTAGATGAACTAATGGGAAGAAAGGACGAAAATATTAGTTAGATGAATGAGAGTACGACAAAGTTCAGATAAACATTAAATATCTCCATGGATCTCTTAGGTAGAATGGTATGTTTCTGTGTGTAAATTCTGTAAGCTCAGAATTGATGCTCTTGCTGTTTAACAGACAATGTATTGTTTCGATTTATACACATATTGGCCACTTGAACAATGATAATGGTGAGATTGTCCATGTGAAATGGTACCTCAGCTTGAATCAACCTTCAGAAAATGAGCACAGAAGTTTGACGAGCTCAAATTTTTTCCTGTAAACTTTATTTTTAAGTTATTTTGCTACAGTGAATTCAGGAAGCCTTTATGAATGTGGGTTACTGGGGAAATTGTTCTAAGATAATAATGACCCCAACCCTTTAATTTCAATTCAAGAAATACATTTCTGATGTTTACTGTTTTTCTTTTAATAGCTTGACATGAATTTGAATGAAGAAAAGCAGCAGCCGTTGAGAAACAAGGATATGATGATTAAAAGAGAAATGGTTTCACAGTATCTTCATACCTCCAAAGCGGTAAGTACTGCACTGTTCCTCCTTGGGATTCTGTTTAGTGCTCCATGTCTTACATCATTTAAATATACTTTTGGTTGTTTTACATTTTAATCATTTGCACAGACCTATTTGAGTTTGTGGAGTGATTAAACCTGTGACTTATATGCATTTCAGGTTATGTTCCCATGGAACGTAATTTAATTCATTGTTATTTTGTAAGTGAAAATGTTAAAAAAAAAAAAAAAAAATTGTTCATGGGGAAGTGGGTGTTGCTGGCCAGGCCAGCATTTAATTGCCTAATTATCCTGTGATCTGAGTGGCTTGTCAGGGCAATTTCAGAGGGCGGTTAAAAGTCAATCGCAATGCTGTGGGTCTGGAGTAACATGTAGGCCAGACCAGATAAGGACAACAGATTTCCTTACCTGAGGGGCATTAGGGAACCATATGGTTTTCTTAATGACAATTGCCAATGGTTAAATGGTCACCTTTCGGCCAGCTTTTAGTTCAAAATTATTTTTATCTGAATTCAAATTTGTCCTTCATTGCCAATGGCATTGAGTTTAAAAGCAAGGAGGCTATGTTACAGCTGGAAAGGGTGTTGGTGAGGCTACACCTGGAGTACTACATGCTGATTTGTTCTCCTTACTTGAGAAAGGATATACTGGCACTGGAAGGTGTGCAGAGAAGATTCACTAGGTTGATTTTGGAGTTGACAGTGTTGGCTTATGAGGAGAGACTGAGTAGATGGGATTATATTTATTAGAATTTAGAAGAATGAAGGGGAATCTTGTAGAAACTTATAAAATTATGAAGGAAATAGATATGATAGAGTCAGAGAGGACGTTTCCACTGGCAGGTAAAACTAGAACAAGAGGACATAGCCTCAAAATTATGGGAAGCAGATTTAGGACTGAGCTGAGGAGGAACTTCTTCACCCAAAGGGTTGTGAATCTGTGGAATTCCCTGCTAGTGAGGTCGTTGAGGCTTGCTTGGTGAATGGTTTTAAAGCTAAGATGTTTTGAGCAGTAAAGGATTGAAGTAAACAAGGTGTACAGCTGGATGAACACAGCAGGCCAAGCAGCATCAGAGGAGCAGGAAGGCTGACGTTTCGGGTCCTGACCCCGCTTCATTTTCTGAAGAAGGGTCTAGGCCCGAAACGTCAGCCTTCCTGCTCCTC